ACGTTTAAGCAAGTGTTCAGCTTCAAAACCAGTGATATCCGAAACTGTTGTAAATACATGTGCTAAATGTGAAGCTGCACGTTCCATACAATATCTATGATATATTTGACGTTTCCCTGCTTCTTCATCAACACTGAACTAAAAAAAAATATTTTACAGCATATTATCTGTATATGTATAGGTATACCTGTACCTGTGCTCATAAACAAACAAAAAGTGTTTGACAAGTGATACAATCAGAGAAGATATAATGCTGCATTAAAAAGTAATTTATGTGTATGCATATGCTTCCTATTGTATAATTAAATATATACATACAGGGTGACCCCGAACGTTCCAGCCAGACTTTGAGATCTTATAGGAAATTTAATTCTGAACAAAAAATTTCCTACAAACATGGGTCGAAAAATGCTTCCTTAAGAAGTTATCGCTCAAAAACCTCTGATGAAGGAAGAGCAAAAGGTGAAAAAAAAATGAAATAAAAAGAAAATGAAACTAAATAAATTTCTTGAAAAAAACGATAAAAATAAAAAATAAAAATCTTTTTCTTTCATGAAAATAAAATAATTTTTTTTTAACTAACTTTTATTTTATTTTATACCCATGTTTATAGGAAATTTTTTGTTCAAAATTAAATTTCCTATAAGATCTCAAAGTATGGCTGGAACGTTCGGGGCCACCTTGTATACAACTACATATACATTTGTATATAATGTATGTTATGTATCAAATACACATATGTATACATGACTTTTTTTGATAAGAAGTATCTCTAGAATGTATTACTAAAGTTTGTCAATTTCTAAAAAGTACTCTGTATATGTATATTGCATACATTTTATATATGAAATAATTTAATTTTGTTTATGTAACTTAATATAAACACACATGTATCCATAATAGTAAGAGAGAAAAAGAGAGAAAGAGAGAGATTTTTACTTTATCTAAATTGTTGTAAAAATCCGTCTTCCCTGCACAAAGATATCTGCCTAAAAGTGTAGCATGAGTAGTAAATACTGTGGCCACATCCACGTGTCTTGTTCTCAAAACAATTAATCCAACACCTGCTTGCCATTCATGACAATGCACGACTATTCTCGGTGGAATGTCTGAGTATCTTTCGGCTGCTTTTCTGTTATTTCATTGTAGCAAAATTATATACAATACAATATACTTAAGTTATATAAATATAATTTTTAGAAGTAACAGTAATTTTGTTTTACCTAAATTCGGCAATAAATTGACAAACTAAATATCCGAGGATCACGGCATCATTAGCTTCAATATCAAGATGAGGTATTCCAAGATTACAACTGCTCCATAATTCTTGTTTATATTCGTCTAATTTCCAAGCGGCACTTCCAATATCGAATAAAATTATTTGAGGATTTCCATCCACCAACCATGTTCCTGTTACAATCTCAATAGTAATTTATATTTTTTTAAATATTCTGGATTGCAAAACTTTTATTACGCGCTAGAGTAATAAAAAAGTAAACAGACATATGTTTAAGATAATAATAAAGATAATAATTCAATAGTTAAATACAATGCCATGGAATATTTGATCTTTATTTAAGTCAAAGGAAAAATATCAAACTTTCTAAACATTAATAAATATATTAATATTTATGCTATCAAATTATGTAAAAAAGTAAAAATATATATTTAAAAACATGAGGAATTTATTTAATTATTCTTATATATTTTTACTCATTCTGATATATAGTACAAATATAATTTTTATTTTTTGAATAATAGTAGATAGATGTGTAAAATAATACTGACATAAATGATAATCATTTGAGTGAAAATATATAAAAATAAGAATAATTAAATAAATATCATACATGTATATCGTTGAATTAGATATATATTCATGACAAATCTAATAAATTCTTTTTAATCTCTTTTAACTTCTTCATTCCACAATATACTCTACATCAATACATCGAATACATCATTGATAAACATTTACAGTTTTTTAAATAATTTGCTTCAAAATTACTAATTATGTGCATGCATGTGCACATTAAATTTGTGATTTAAAACATTTAGAAGCTTACTTTATATCCTTGATCACGTAGAACTTGTACTGCTTGATGTAAAGGATTGTGAGGAGGAAAATCAGCTTCTTCAATTTCAGTACGTGCTGAGTGTTCTTTATATGGACCAATGAGACAATATTGATCACCCATTTCTTCAGTTGAAACATAAGCTTTAGATCTTATTACAGTGTAAATGCCACCAACTGGAAAAGAATTTATAAATTATGTGAGATATAAAAATATATATATATATATATATATATATATATATATATATAATTTAATGAGAGGCTCTAAAATTAATAACAAATCTAATTAAAAAATAAAAAATATTGTTTTTTTCATGCAAAAATATTTTAATTTTCAATTCAATTTCTTAAACTCCTTTGCTACCTCTTTTAGTGTCATCACTTTCATTTATTTTTATTAACAAAATATAGACATTACACATGATGCTTTAAATAAGAATTCTGGCACAATATAACATTGAATTTTGTGCAGTAATTTCATGTGAGGAATATTACAATTTAATCATAATGAAAGTTATCTAATCAAGAAAAACTTATTTTTTTTTCAATTTTTACTATGTTTTAATTAATTTGTACAATTGCTTTCTAAAAATAAGGTATATGGTCATACTTTTGTTGGCAGCTTCCCAAGCAACTTCAAAATTCCACCGATTTTCATGTTGAGCTGTATAACCACGATCCATGAATTCAAATAAATCATTGGTACTGTCTACACGATAAAATCTTCTGGAAGCACGTTCTCTCGACATTTTGTTGACTATTCTATAATATTTTGTTGACTGTAGTATACATTTATTAATTTAAAATAAGGTTTAATAAAATATATTTTCTTCCTTTTTCATATAAAATATATTAAACTTTTGTTTAATAAAAAGCGGTATTACAGTGTACAATGTTAATTTTATTCCTTTTAAATAAAGTATGACAAAAATATAATATAACCAGCATTTATTTGAAGAATTTTAAAATCAAATTTATAAAAGTTACATAAAATATAATTAATATCTATTTAGATTTTTGTATAAGAAAATATTTTTAAATATTTTTTTAATATTTTACAGCTTATTAATTAATTAAAAAATACTATATTATTACATTTTAAAATAACAAATATTTTAATAATTAAAATAGAAGCTTATTTTTTCAATGTTTTATTCAAATATTTTATTCAAAATTTTAATAAGAAAATAAGAGATAACTTTATCTTCATTAAGTTTGACTTTATCACAGAAAAAGTTATTGCAATCATACATATACGTATCTATCTTAATAAAAAAACCAATATCATTTTCTCTCGTATGACGTAATCAAACATAATTGCTTTATTTAATTATTTCTTTTTTTCTAAATTTATGTTCACCCAAAATCTCCAATTTTCAGAGATTATTGATACCGCGGATTTGTGCTAGCAAATTATCCTGATATTTAACTTTACTTGTGTTTTTCCTTCTTAAAAAATTCGGTCGACGAGAGATCTATTTTTTTTTAAATAATACGCGAATTACAATCGCAAAAATTCGAAAACGAATGTCGCGAATATACTCGGAGGTCTTTACGATAAATATATACTGTTACCGCATAATGTTTGACTACTGGCTTCGCATGCAATTGGATTAAAGCAAAGCACACAGCAATATGTCCGTAATTCATATTCTTTGACTCACCGTTTATAATATTTTTTTAATAAAAGTAAAGAAAGAGAGAAAAAGAGAGAGAGACCTTAAGATTAACTATTAACCAGAGAACACAACTCCACGGTCGGGTCAGGTTCAAACGAAGGTCACCACAGACTATGTGAAAGTCAACAAGGTGCCCTTGCCAAGGCAGTGTTGATAGTGATGGATGGAGGGACAATCTCGCGCATGCGCAATCGTGAAAATGCTAGCAGACGCTGCGATATCTTCAGGCATGCAACGCAAAAAGTTTATTAATAATAATAGTATAATGATTACACATTAAAATATATTAGATATTTTTTGATACATGATTAATAAATTTTTTTTGCTTTCTACGTGTATGTATTTCATATATATATATATATATATATATATATATATATATATATATATATATAGCATTTAATATACGTTACACACACGTCACACATTATATATATATATATATATATATACAGGGTGTGCCAGATCACTCATACACCCTTTTTAAAATGAAAATAAATGGCTTTTATAAAAAATCGCGAACAATTTTTAAGTAAATCGGTTACGCTCTATCAAATGGTGATATTTTTAACTTTTGATTTCGACCGGAAATACGTCATCCGGATCGGAAGTTGAATTTTTTTAGGGGAAACGTGGTACTTTTTATTACAGATTCGAATTGTACGTGAAGAAATAAGAAACTTTTGTATCAAACATTTTTTCTGAAAATGCCTCTGTCAATTTTAAAATTGATCTTCATTATTTCATCAAAGTAACTTTCAATTTTAAAATTGACAGAGGGACTTTTAGAAAAAACGTTTGATACAAAAGTTTCTTATTTTTTCACGTATAATTCGAATCTGTAATAAAAAGTACCATGTTCCCCTAAAAAAATTCAACTTCCGATCCGGATGGCGTATTTCCGGTCGGAATCAAAAGTTGAAAATATCACCATTTTATAAAGTACCCGATTTACTTAGCAATTGTTCGCGATTTTTAATAAAAGCCAATTATTTTCATTTTAAAAGGGATGTACGGATGATCTGGGACACCCTGTATATATCTACACGTTTATCTTATTGTTAGATCTGAGAATTTATTTCTCAATATTGGTAATCCTGAGTCCAGAATTTCGTATCGTCACCGTACGAGGTCTCCAATATCAATTTGCAGTTTGCTCGTCATCTCTGTATTTCTACTGACGTAAGAACAATTGAAGTTGGGGTTTAAACAGGTCTAAATGTTATATTTATAATAATACAAAAATGACTGACAATACCAAACAATCGAAAAGTGAGGAGGAAGATCAAGAATTAAATAGTTTGTTGGATAGTAAGTAGATTATTAGTCATATTTCGTTTAGAAAAAAAAAATCAACTTTTACACACATACATGCATAGACTGGTTTCTGTCAATAAATAATGATTCGTAGTTATATAAGAAATTGTTTCAGATATATATATGATTTAGAATTTTTTAATATTCTTCATATTACATAAAAATATAACATATATAGTTATAATCATAAACTATTAAATTTTGGCCAATATATTAATTGCATATTTTAAGATTTAAATTTTGTCGTTTCTTAGGTGCTTTACAAGATTTTGGCAAAGAGTCAAATATTGAAAAAGACAATGCAGCTGATCCAAATACATCGGATTTGCATAAGCAAATTGATAAGCAAAGTGAAACATCTGAAACTAAATTTGCAGAGACATGGACGGAAGATTTTCTTAAACAAACAGCTGATCAATTTGAGAAAAATTTGCAAACCTTATTACAAAATGGTGAGTTTAATAAAATATACAAAAAATAAATATACTACTATTAAAATATATTATTAGGCGGTAACGAATTAGAAGCTGCTTTGCAAAAGCTTGGAGAAGCATCAGCTAATAATGTAACAGATGAAAAGGACAATGTTAGTACAGATTTTCAATCAACTATTTCACAAGTTTTAAAGGATTTAACTACAAATTCTGAAAATATACAGGTATTTTGATTCTTATAGCATAATAATAATTTATATATTAATATGAAAAATGTTTATTCAGATTGCATTAATTCTAGAAAATAATAATAATGATACTATTTATATACTATTTGCAACTATTATTTTTATCTACATTTTTATTTTGCATGTAGTAGTAATATTAATAGTAATAATCTTAATAATAGGTAATAATGATAATAATAATGAAAAATTTATATGCATTTATTAATTTGCAATATTATAATATTATAATATTATTTTCAGTTCATCTTTTTAAGAGAATTGTAATTAAAGAAGATAAAATACTTTTTAGAATGATGATTTAGCGGCTATGCTAGGACGGACATCTCTCGATAGCGACACTGGTGATATATTACCATTTATGCAAGGAATGATGGAACATCTCTTGTCAAAAGAAATTCTTTATCCATCATTAAAAGAATTGTCAGATAAATATCCAGCATGGCTAGAAGAACACAAAACAACTATAAATTCTTCTGATCTAGAAAGATATACAAAACAATCAGAATTGATGAAAAAGGTATATTAATAATAAAACAATAAATCTTTCTGTTATTAACAAATTTATATTTTGTGTAAGGTATGCATTGAATTGGAAGAGGAAAACAAAGATGATACAGAAGATATTAAAAAACGTCGGTTTGAATCGATATTAAAGCTTATGACAGAAATGCAAAATTATGGTCAAGCACCAGAAGATCTTGTTGGTGAACAATGTTCACTTTTCCAATTTGACTCTGAAGGAAATCCTATTCTGCCGTTACCATCTGGAGTGGACTCTCAACAAGATTGCACTATTATGTAAATTTTTTTAATGTATTTAAAATATTATTTCGTTGATCTATATTTTGTAATTAATTCAGCTAAATTTAATTACTAATGATGAAATATATTTGTATACAAATACATATACAAGATATATTACAAAAACTGCTTTTGGTTGAGGCAATATCGTACTTTTTTTTAAAAAAAAATGATTATTATAATGAAATTTAAAAAGAAGATTATTACAATAAAAATTTCATTACATACAACTTGCAATAAACCTTAATTATATTTTATAATATATGTATAATAGAATTTTAATTAAAAATTACTTAATAAATGTATAAGAGAAATATGATTATTTAATAATTATTATAATTATATTAATAATATAATATATTAATGTATTATAATATTTATAATTATTATTTATATTATATTAAAACCAATTTAATATTGTTAAATATAATACATAATATAAAAAATCGAAAATCTTTGTATTTTGCTATTTTCAAAATCAAGTTTTTGTAAAGAAAAAGTAAGTTTTAAATTCAACAAAATTTGCGATTCTGAAACTGTTTTGTATAAATAAAATTTTTGCGTGTATGCATATACATAGACACACACACACACACACATATATATATATATATGTGTATATATATATATATATATATATATATATATATATATATATATGTAGAGTTTTTCGAAAAAGAAATAATTTATAGTTATGAAGTTATCTATAAGCCTTATTTTTTAAGGAATATTCTAGTTAAAACGTTTTTTTTTTAAATCTTTTTCGAAATTTTTTATAAAGAAACTAAACTGTAAACTTTTTTATAAACCTTTTTTGTAAACCTTTTTACTGTGTTTTATTACATTTATATTAATTGAATTAATAACATTAATGTATTATGTACACATATACAGTATTCATAATCAAATCAGCCAGCATATGTATGTGTACATACTACACATAACACACATATATATTGTATATTATACATAATGTATATTGCAAAATGTTTATTTGAAAACTTTTTACCTTATTTATATCATAACCGAAAAAAGCCGAAACAAATCAATTTTATCTTTGAAGCGGACTTTTTTCAAATATCAAAATAAGAAGATAATATATTAATGTCTACTTTTAATCATTTATAATCTATATGTAATGTCGACAATTAATAATGGACGTTTAAACACATCATTTTTTAAGTCAAAGATCTATTTTAAAAATCATAAAAGACATTCATCTAAGTCATTTTTTTTTCTTTTATGATTAAAATTGGCATCGATTAATAAGATTCTAATCTCACTGTCGTTAACTAAAAAAATTGGTGAAAGTAAGTGATTAATGATAATATCCTTGTCCGGATTTTCTCTCTCATTCAAAAAAGAGAATAAAATATAAAAATTAAGTTTAAATTTATTATTATTACTTTTGCGGAAAAAGTGATAAAAATTTAACTATAGTAAAATATGCAGCAATAATATTTTATATGGTAATTTAATTTTTTAATTATAATTAATGTTATTATTTGGTCACTGATATCTCTATATTAGTACGTATAATATATACATCACTGAATGATCAGTTAACTAATTTGTAAAAGTTATTACTAATTTGTAAAAAGTTTGATGTTATAAGCACATTATTAGAATGATATTTATAAAGATAATAATTATAAGGATAAATTATTACGAAGTCGCTAATAAATCAAATACATGATGTTTTATGGTAACATATGATGTCGAAGGTCTAAAATGACTAACTATTGACGTTAAATGAGCAATATATATTGCTATCTAAGGATTTATTATTAATAATCAATATCATCTAATAATCACAATGTACATGCATATAACTACTATACAATAAATCGATTGTGCAGTGAAAATGAGTGCAAATGTACTCAAGTTGTAAGCGCACGTCATTTTGATATCCAATGATGTCAAATTAATTTGTATTAATATCATATTTATGATAAAATTTCCTTGTTATCTATATTTTGTGACTTATATAATTTTGTTAGTTCTTCCAATTTATCTGTTTGAATATCAGATTTAATTGGTTTCTCTATTCTTTGTTGAATTTTTGCATCTTTATTTTGATCTGAATTTAATGATGTATTATTTTCTGATGATTGTGACATTTCTTTCCTCCATTTCATCAACCAATTATTGGAAGCAGTCTAAAAAATTGAAATGTTATTTTTAAATAAAGAAACTTTCTGTGACGATCGTATTTATAGAAACAAATTTACTTAAATGGAATTTCTGAATAATTATATAATGAGTTATTGAATTAAATAATTTTATGATATGATTAAATATTGAATTAAAAATATGATATGATTAAATATTGAATTAAATTATGATATGATTAAATATTGAATTAAAAATATTGAATTAAATATTGAATTAAATAATTTTATGATATGATTAAATATACTATATTAAATATATTAATATGACTTTTTTGTGTAAAAATTTATCTATAATTAAAAAATTAGCATGTTAAAAATAGTTGTTTTTTACATCTTTATCATCCTGCTTATTTTCCGTTTGTATCTTTTCAAATTTGTCCTCTGTTTTAACTTTATCTTTTTCTTTTTCAAGTCTTTGTTTCATTTGATATTTGGCTACTTGTTGTGCGAATGATCCTAGCTCTCCTCTTATCGCGGCATCATACATTACCTATTTACAAAAATTCTTTTTAAATTAAGTTTATGAATTATATGATATGGATTTAAATATTATATGATTAAATAATAAAATTATGTACATTAAATATTAAATTCTTACATCTCGTCGTTTTTTAGCATCGTTAGATGTACCTATCTGATCTGTCTCAGTTTGTGGACCCAATTCAATGAGAATCTGAAAATCCGCATGTTCACCTAATCGAAAACCTATACCAAATCTGGAATCGGTTCCTGTAAAATTTAATTTTTTAATATAACAAAGAGGCATAAATGAACATAAATAGGTGGTTTCGAGAAGCAAATAACAAATGTATACACAATATATTTTGTGAAATTAAATGACGATTAAACGATATGAAATTAAGCAAGAATCTTTATCAGTAGATTTTATGAAAATAATGTTTAATATTTAATACTAAAAACAAAATTTATCTCGAGTTATACTTAAAAGTAATGATTCAAGATTATCTTTAGTTATAAAATGTATAACAATTTTAATTTATGTATCAAATATATGTAACGTTAATAAAGCTTAAATCATGCAAGATAAAAAATTTTTAACAATTTAATTCCATAGTATATTTCTAATAGATATCTAATATATATTTGTATGCAGACCTTTTTTAATTGGTGGGATATTCGAGTAAATTAGAGAAAGTATTGTTGGTAGTTCTTCTGGTATAATCAAACTTGTCGCATCTGTAAATTTTTTTATATATTGTTGTGTATTTTTTGACTGTTATAAACAAATTATAAACAAATATAAGCGAAACACTCTGTGAAAATTAATATTAATTGATTAATATAATTTTATCTTGATAATTGCGTAGTTTTCAGCTATTAGAAAATTGTTTTTCTTCCATAATTCTTATTCTTAGTTTGATTTGACTGATGAATGTCGCATAATCAAATGAATTACATTTACTTTCATAGAAAATAATCAAAAGCAATATCCGTATGACTGCAGTTTTCACTATCATTGTCATTGTTTTTGAAAGGGAAATTTCTGCATGTATCGCTTATGTGTTCAATCAATGCATGACTTAGCTTTCGTGGATATTCTGCAATCGAACATAAGCAAAAATTAATTTTCCAAACATAAACTGTTAATTATATAGGATAACATTGCTCTCGATCGCGTTAACTTTTATTATTAAATAATTATTATAAAAACGAAACATTTCTCAAAAAGTTGCATAACAATTTCGTGGATCGATATATTACATCTCTTTAAATAAAATTCATAAACAAACTAAATTATTATTTTCAGACATTAAATCAAAAATTTTACACAATCTATTTGCACGAATTTTACGATATATTAAAGGTATTGTTTGTCATCACAAATTTATATTTTTGCCAAATTTAAACCGCCAATTATCATTACTATTTTATTCACGTGTGCACTCGCGTATCTTATATACATATATTTTATATTGAACCGTGTTCAATCCACCAACTGTTCCACGTAACTAAATGTTCCGGTTAAAATTGCACGAAAGTAAAATCTAAAAGCGAGATTTGTGGCGGGTAATCGCGTGCAAAAAACGTTCAATTTTCTCGAGAAAGTGTAGACGTTCTTTTTTCAAATTGTTGCTTGATTTTTCATATAATGCACCAATACGATGAATATTATATTATACATTCGGGGAATGGCTTTTAACTTAATTAATATTGTTGAATAATTAATATTGTTGAATTAATAAACTAGCTGGATTAATTATACGGTGAAGAAAAGGTTGCCACACAACGAAAATAGACGGGAATAAACTTCTTGGACTTGGACGGAAAGTGAAACCTGGCGAGTCGATGGGAGATAGTTCACCGATCAATGTTCTAGGATAAACTGAAATATTGTTACGAAATGTGAATATGTCTTTGGTGCCAAACCAATGCGAGAAGGAGTAGCACTTTTCAAGTGAAAGGAGAAGCAACGGATTGGAGATCGAGGTCATCCAAACCAAATGCCGATATCGACTCTCGGTAAACTCTCTCTTTTCTTTTTCTCTCTATCGGGCATTTACATGCAAATTACTTTATGTATTTTATTTGAATAGGATCGATGCGATCATTATGTCGCAGGATGGCCTCGTGTCACTGATCTATTGGCAATCAATAAATCAAGAACGTCATTCTGCTGTATAGCATACGAGTTGCACATGTTGAAGAGTCACTATTGAAAAATGCAAATTATATACATTTACTCGGCTCGACATAACGTAATGAAAAGGAAATTCTCTACTGAAAAGGAAATTCACTACTGAAAAGGAAATTCACTATTCAAGATAGATAGGTATTTATTTATTTCTTGCTTTTCGAATTTTAAAGAGCTCTTTTATATAAGCTTTACAATTTATACAATATAATGACGTGTATATAAACTATAAATTTAATAGAAGAGTGCCACGCACTTAGCCTAAATAATTTTTATTTAATAATAAATAATTAATAAATAAATAATTAATAAATAATAATAAATAATTAAAAATAATAAATAATAAATAATATTTAATAATAAATTTATTTAATAATAAAATTATTAAAATTAATTTTATTTCCTTCCTAAGTTCATTTTCTTAAATTTTCTTTGATCTTATTTTCTTTCTTTGCGCTTGCTTCATCCTACTTTTTCCCCCTTCTCTTCAAATAATTAATTCTTATATTATTTCTTATATTTTTTCGATAAATTTGTTGCTAAATGTTCTAAAGTCTCGACACTCTGATATATCTTATTGCATATTGTCTCTCTGTGTGTGCTAAAATTTATTACAAAGTTCTTCGTTTCCACATCTAAATCCCGAAATAATAATTTTTAAAAATCTCTCTGACCTCGTTTTCTTAAGTATTCCGAAATTTCCATTATATATGACTCGATATATCTTGTATCTGGAATTCTGAATCTTATTATATTGTCTGAATCTTATTATATTATCTGTTTTTGAATCTTTATATCTCTTTCAGATAATTTATATATCATCTTGAACTCCATCTCTATCTCTTAGGCTGGGTTGTTCCATCTTTCGATAAATTTCATCTTACTTGACAGATTAGTACCTATAGGGTAAATTTTACCAGATAGTTTTACGAGCTACTTATATGTGAGCGTATTATAGTCTTATTTTAATATTGTAATTGTCACCTCAAGAATATATAATTATTTAATTCTACTTTAAGAAAATTATAATCTTTAATTTAAAAATATTATTTTCTGTCTAACATTGTTTCTTTTCCATTCAAGAAAATTAAATCTTAAATCATAAGAATATATTTTTCTTGAATTGACCTATATAAAATGGTTTCATTCAAGTAAGCAATTATATTTTTCCTTAATTAACGCAATATAATCTCATTTCAAGATTTCCATGTTAAAACTAAATATATTTTCAAAACAAGAATGTCCTTTTTTCTGTGTATTTTTCTGTGGATATCAAATTTGTCTTTTCTCTAAAAATTTTGAGAAGTTTCTCAACATTTCTCTTTTATTTTATCTGCGTACATCAAATTCTACTTCTTTTTGTTATTTTCTACGTAGAATAAATATGTTGCGAAAAAGAGGAATGAAAGATCTGAGGAACATATATGTGTAACTACATTTAATTAACATGGAGAATTAAAATACTTTAATTATTAAATTAGAATTAAAATACTTTAATTTATTAAATTTTGGAATACATAAGAAAATCTTTTATTGCGATATCAATAATGTTCGAATTATAATTGGAAAAAAAGATTTTACAAATTAAATTTCAAGAAGCCAAGTAAACAAGAAAGCCATATTTTTTAAGGTCCAGATGAATCTTATTTTTACAGAATTTTAATATGAAGCTTAAATATTTAATATAATTAAAAATTGGAAGGCAATTAATAAGAAATTTTTTAAATATTTTTTTCATATTTTTAACATTTTTTGAAAAATTTTCGATTACATTATTGGTTAAAAAAAATTAAACAGTCATTATTGGTTAAAAAAAATTAAGCAGTCAGTTGATGTTTCTTATGATGGTCTTCACCTATGTATATTTATCAACAAAATACATTTTACAATAGAATATGTGCACATTATGTACGCACTTACTTGTGTGTTATCAGTGATAACACATAGTTTCCGCATACACTACTTATACATGTACACATACGTATATGTATACATATATGTGTATATACAGGGTGTCCCAAAAGTCCCGGACCGGTCGAATATTTTATAAACTATGCACTTTAGAAAGAAATAAAGTTGTATAGCTTGAAGGGGGCCATCAGATAGTGGCAATGATTTGATATGGGAGAGTCATTTGAAAGTCACGTGAAGATCACCGTCAATTTCTTAAATGGAATCCCCTATTTTTTATTACATATTCGTGTAGCTTATCTTGAGAGCTTTCCAAAACACTATAATTAAATATTTCTTTATTGAGTACTTTTCGAGTTATGAGGCTTGAAATCATTTATTAATTTTACATAAACCGTAAAATATCTTGTAAAATATTCATTTTTCGATTATCTTACCTCAATACTTTTATGTACAAAATAATGAGAGGAATCAATTGGTGTAAAGAAAAAACATAGTTGTTTTTAAGAAAAAATATGTAATTTGCAATTAACAATTACATTTTTTTTTTAACAACTATATGTTTTCTTTACACCAATTGATTCCTCTCATTATTTTGTACATAAAATTATTAAGGAAAGATAATCAAAAAATGAATATTTTACTAGATATTTTATGATTTATGCAAAATTAAGAAATGATTTCAAGCCTCATAACTCGAAAAGTACTCAATGAAGAAATACTTTATTATAGTGTTTATAGTTTACATACATACATACATATATATATATATATATATATATATATATATATATATATATATATATATACGGGGTGAGGCATCTAAAACAGGCCACCTGAATAACTCCGTTGGTAAGCCGAATACAAAAAAATTGTTCAGACAAAAGTTGTATGGTTTCAAGGGGGACATATGATGGTGTCATTAGTTTAATCTTGAAGAGCCACCCGAAAGTCACGTGAAGGTCAGCTCCAACTTTTTAAATGGGACACCTTATATGCTTTTGCATATTCTTGTAGCTCATCTTAAGAGCTTTCCAAAACACTACAATTATGTTAGTTTTCATTGAGTACTTTCCAAGTTATGAGGCTTGAAATCATTTTTTAATTTTACATAAACCGTAAAATATCTAGTAAACCATTCATTTTTCGATTATCTTACCTTGATACTTTTATGTACAAAATAATGAAAGGAATCAATTGGTGTAAAGAAAACACATAGTTGTTTCTAAGAAAAAATATGGAATTTGCAATTAACAATTCCATATTTTTTGTTAAAAACAACTGTATGTTTTCTTTACACCGATTGATTCCTCTCACTATTTTGTACATAAAAGTATTAAGGTAAAATAATCGAAAAATGAATATTTTACAAGATATTTTACGGTTTATGTAAAATTAAAAAATGATTTCAAGCCTCATAACTTGGAAAGTACTCAATGAAAACTAACATAATTGTAGTGTTTTGGAAAGCTCTTGAGATGAGCTACAAGAATATGCAAAATCATATAAGATGTCCCATTTAAAAAGTTGGAGCTGACCTTCACGTGACCTTCGGGTGGCTCTTCAAGATTAAACTAATGACACCATCATATGTCCCCCTTGAAACCATACAACTTTTGTCTGAACAATTTTTTTGTATTCGGCTTACCAACGGAGTTATTCAGGTGGCCTGTTTTAGATGCCTCACCCTGTATATATATATATGTATGAATGTATGTATGTATGTAAATAGATAAATATATATACAGGATAACCCGCCATAAGTGCATAATCCTTTTTTATTTTTTAAAAACTAAAAGAAAGAAATTATACACACAATATAACAAATATATATATATCAAATTAATTGGCTCAAATTGAAATCTACAGTGAAGTCTAAAATTAGTATGACGATATTTACAAAATCTTGCAACAAATTGTTTACAAAAATCATTTGTTTTAAAGAATAATATGCATAATTTTTTTATAGTAATGTACATATTTCGATATAACAGAAATTATAACGCTCTTTAAAGTAAATACGATGTATGAATGAATGTAATCATTTTAATTATACCAATTATACGAATTTTAGCTTAAAAATATCGCAGGCGACATCTACCTATTCATTTTCGGTCTTACGATATGGCAATCTCCAATTTCTATCTTAGAAGTTAACGTATAGGCTCTTGTATACAGGACACGTCAACACATTACGTGCCAAAACGGCGATAGGTAATCAATTTATAAGACCATAAAAGCAGGAGATTGATTGGCTTACTATATCGGCTTGATAATTTATAATTAAAATGGATTTTTATAATTAAAATGGAAATTTATAATTAAAATGGAAGTAATACTGTATATGTTGTAAACAATTTATTGTAAAAGTTATATGATAATAATTTTGAAAAATTATTTTATTGGTTTTTTTATAATGTGCATTGTGCATTACTTTATTAATGAATATAAATATCATATTTTCTATCAATTTTACAATTTTTATAGTATTAAATACTATAATATCATTATATTCCAATTTTAATAAAGTGTTAAAAAAGAGTGTATTCTTCATTTTTATTGTAAAATTTTCTCTGCACACTCTTAAATATATATCAAAAACTCTTAGCTGAACTTTTAAAAAAGTGAATTAAATATAAATAAACAAAGATTCTTTAATAAATTTTCCGTCGTTTTTGGAGTTCCATGTGTTAAAATAAATGGATTGCTATAAAGATGAAAAAAATTCAATAGCAATTTGTTATTCTTGATATTAAAAATGTACATATAGGCCCCTGATTGAAGCCGCCAATGCATTACTCATCTATTCGCGAACTACCGGCAAGATAATCAGAAGCGTAGAACTTTGCAGGGGGGATGCCGTTGTCATACATACATTTGTTCGCCAGAAACGCGAACGACTACGTATGAGAATGCGGTATACGTGCTTAAGAAGTAAAGTAAAACGTTAAATCAATTAATCGGTTATCGGATCGAATACGAACGCGAATTCGCATTTGTGAGTGCAAAAACAAGCTGCAAATAATTCATTCTTTGGGTTACAATGTGATTGAGTAAATCAGACTGATATTTAAATATAATAAGTGCGAAAAAATAATTGATAATTAAATTTGAAACAATTGTCTATCATAATCGCACAAGTGACATCTCGACCATTAATCAAGAATTTATATGAATTATCAGATTATTCGATATAAGAAAATCAAATTAATATTCTAGAAATAAAATAGAGTTAAAAATTCTGGTATAAAAATATCAAGATCGTAATAGTTTTGGAATTATAATTAATTAAAATTTGCCAATTATATCACTTAAAACTCACGCGCTCAAATCCAACGCCTACCGATCTGTCATCTATTATTGATTTTATCGTTTTTTATATGTATACGTGGATTATGGCAATTAATATCATAATATTAATAAATTATAACAAAATATGTAATTTTTTCTTAAATAATAATTTAAATAGTTAACTAATTATTATATTAAAAACAATTATATAAATTTAATATTTTCACACATTTAAAAATCGAAGTTTATTTTTGTTTTTATCAGAGATATATTTATGGAAATGAATTTATTTATTATCTATTTTATAAAAATCAACAGATCGTTACACGTGTAATAGAGTTATAGGTTTGAATTATATCATCGAATTTTGATTAATTATGTCTCTAAAACTATTATAGTCTTTATATTTTCATATTAGAATTTTTTATTCTATTTTACCTCTAGACTAAACTATTAAAATATTGTGCGGAAGTTGTGAGACACGCTGTATATACATACAAGGTCACAATAATGCAATCGGCGACGAAGCCTTCGTAAGATTTCCTAAAAAGCGAATGATAAATCTCGCGGATCATGTCGTTAAATATTTCAAATAAATGTCGAAATACCGATATCAGTCATCCATGCATATATAATGTGCGAAAGATTGATGTGAAGTAATATATAATATATAACGTGAAGGGGAACGATGAACATTTATCATTATTTTAATTACATGCTTCAACAGTTAGTTGTAATTGTAGATATTATCACTTTTAATCTTCGCATCGCGACTTTGCCTCGGTGTGTAAAATTTATTATTCCTCTATATACATATTACCTTCATGACGCTGATCTGCGCAGTAAGTCCACAATGTTCAGCAATCTACAAATACAAACTACTAATGTATTACAATTACGCACTTTTTATAAGCAAAATTAATCTCATTTTTTTCTTATCAAATAACATTTAGAGTTTAAATAAATTTTAATGCAAAATGAAATATCAAAAAAAATAATTTAAAGTACTTTCTATTAATTTTTATGCCATCTTAAATTTTTTTAGATCGAACGTATTACAATTATACACTTTTTATAAGCAAAATTAATCTCATTTTTTTCTTATCAAATAACATTTAGAGTTTAAATAAATTTTAATGCAAAATGAAATATCAAAAAAAATAATTAAAAGTACTTTCTATTAATTTTTATGCCATCTTAAATTTTTTTAGATCGAAATTATTCAACGGAAAGAAAAAACGGACAACTATTTTAATACGTTTTGATGGTTTGCCTTATCGTTGCGTATTATCGTTTGTTTTGTTTACTTTCGTTTGGACGTAACGTCGAATTATTGGTGACACAAGTGTTTTCTCTCCGCTGATGTATGTACGCTAATACAAATTATTTTTCACGTTCTTATATCGGAAAATATCAATTGGCAGATGTGCGACAAGGAATATATAAGACGTGGATCTTTGAATGTGAGTAGCTGATGTTTTCATTATGAAACTAATTGTACGTCAAACATTTTCGCCGTCTCATGCAATAATATAGTGTATATTTTTTCAAAAATATTGAAATAAAAAAAATAATGATATATTATAAAATCATTTTATTACAAAATAATTACAACAAATGCAAAAAAATATATGTATATTATATGAGAGCTTCTCATCCAGGCCATTAATCACCTTTATATTTCGTCATACGCCGTCACATGTTGATATGCATGTGCCATTGACATAAATAATTTTAAAATTAAATTTTAGTCCAGTCCAGTGAATGTTGTACGAAGACCTTTTCGGCCCATGGGGCCTGCTAATTATAATCGTGATAGGAGCAGGAATCATCCTGATTGCACTGTTGCTGTTCGCTTGCTTCCTCACGCCTGGTTGCATCGGTTATGAATGTTTCAGGAAGCAAAGTAAGATCATCGAGTTTTTTTTTATTTTCCTCGCGCATTAAGCATATATAATTATTTGCGAGTAACGCTATTTCTAAAAAAATAAAAGCAATCGTTAATTTCCTGCCATCAAGCATAGTCGTAATATTATTCTTGGTACAAAGTATTGTACTTGACATCGATTTCTGCTCAACGTATTGATTTCACATTTTATTTTCCAGCCACGTATATGAATTATACTTTTTTATATGCGTGCTTCATATATAATGATTAGATTCTTTAGAAATGATTAGATTCTTTAGAAATGATTAGATTCTTTAGATTTTCTGCAATAAATATAGATCAGCTTCAATTATTACACTTATAAATTTAAAAAAATAGACATTTATTATAATTTTTTATAGTAATCTCTCGTGTAAAGTTACATATAATAATTCTACAAATATATGCGAATTACGCCTTTGCATACCTTGTTTGACATATATACATGAATAAATGACGTTCCATAAGTTTGCTTCTTCTGCTGTTATATAATTAGGTACGCCAACTAGCCAACACAATGCACAATAATCTTTCGATAATGCTGCGGGAAACGCCTGAATGATGTTATATCATTATTCCGGAATTTTCACGAATATATTTTTCACAAAATACAAATCTTACACGTTAAATTTAATATACACCATATTATGTAATTGTAAACACAATGGTTAGCGATCATAGCCTTCATATCAAGAACCGCTGACAATTAATATTTTAAATTAATATTTTAATTAAAATTAATATTTTAATTAAAATCGTTTATATGCAATGAAAATATTCAGATATCATATATAAATATTAAAACTATAATAGGTAATATATATATCGAAAAAATAGGAATTCATATGCGACAAGAGAAAAGCGCAAGAATGTTTCTTAAGTTGTTATGCAATCTAATAAAAATAAAATTTAATAATAATAATAAAACGTAAAAAGAGAAAAAAATAATGTATTTAAAATGATTTTCTATTTCTAGGCAAAGAGAACAAGAATGTTCATTTACAAGCAAACAATCAGGAAAAGAAAAATTTGAAATTGAGTGATATTAGTTACAGATCTTGGAGACTGGGTAGTTTGTACGAAAATGATAACGGTATGAAACTTTTATTGCATTTAATTTAAATATTAAGAAGATTTCTGAAATTGATTCTATGTTTGTTCAATTTACTTTGTTATTCTGTTTATTTACTAATTATTTTATTATGAACTATTATATTATATCAAAAGTTAAAAGAAAAATAATTTTAAATCATTAAAGAATATTATTTGATTGATTTGTTTAGTTATTTATTGTGGATTATTATGAGAAAGGCTATTTTGGAGCATCAAAATAAATTTTTAAATTAATATGTTTACATTATTTTAATAAATTATTAAGAAATTCTAACAAAAATTTAAACAAAATAATTAATTTAATACATAATTAATTTTTTAAATAATTTAATAATTAATTAATTTAAATAATATATTTAAAAATAATTGACTAAATAATTAATTTGATAAATAATTAATTTTTGTCATTATATTTAATTTAATTATTTGCACGAAAGATTATTACATTTGATAAGTTTTATTTAGTTTTTATTTTGTGTTTATTCTCATAAAACAAAAAAAAATCAAAAAAACAAAAAAAAATCAAAAAAACAAGGAGATATATCCACTTAAGGATATATCTTTCTAAGGATATATCTATCTAATATGTCTTTAAGTCATTTTTTGGGACATGAATAGGCAAGAGAAGGAAGAAATGCCAGTATTTTGTATAAATAATACTTTTTCTCATTATTATGAATATTATAAATTCACATCTAATTTATAATATACATCTTTTTAATAAAAAATTTCTTTAATAAATTTATCTAATTTATAATTTATAATTTATAATTTCAATATAATTTATATACATATATATCTCTAAAAGATCGAAAAGTGAAATGCAATAGAATCATCTTAGGTTAATCAACTTGATCAATATTTATCGATTGAGAAATTGTCTTATAATAAATTAACAAAGACAAATATTGTATTATCCAGGTACTATCAGCGAAAATGCGGGATCTCATAGGGATTCATTGAATTCCGTCAGTGCCAAATGCGAAAACATAGAATGTTCTTCTACGCTGGTAATTGTATATAATTGAGTTGAGCAAATTACATTGCGTTTGATATTAATTTTTCTTTAAAAATTACAGAACTTGGTTCAGATAGATAAGCAAAAGAACGACAAAAAGATAAAAGAGTTTCCGACCGAATTAACAATAAGCTTGCAATACCTACCACCTTGCGACAATATTATCACGGGGAAGCTTATTATCGGTATCGAAGTGCGTACCTTAACATTAATCCATATTTTATAAACAAACAAGAAAATTTTCGATAAATAAATGTTAAATAAATATTAAAAATAGGCTGATAATCTTGAGCCGACTTATCATTAAAATAATTCAGTATATCTTTTATCAAATAAAATTACTTAAAGAAAATGAAACTCATTCTTTGTTTTACAGGCATTGAGCGGTCTTCCACCAAAGCAGTACAACGGCACATTAGAACCTTACGTAGCATTGAACATCGTGAAACAATCATGGAGTCACAGGAAGCGACAGAAATTGCATAGTTTCAGAACAAGAAGTATCAAACATACCACTAATCCAATTTACAAGGAGACTTTCGCTATTGCGAATGTAAAACCGCAAGAAGCCAGAGTAAATAATTTACCATATATTATACATATATTATACATATATTATACATTTGAGTTTACATAAGAAAAAATTATATATTTCGAACCGTTAAAGTAATTTTTTTCACATGTAAATTGACATTTTGCAAGGATGTAATACAGCGTGTATTATTATACAGGGTGGTTTAAAAGTCTGGAAACGGTCAATTATCTTCGAAAATAGTGGTTCTGTGGGAAAATGTTTCAGACAAAAGTTGTAAGATTTCAAGAGATGCATTACACAGTAATATTACTATGACCTTGAAGAGTGTTGTCACGTGAGGATCATCTTAAATTTCTTAAATGGAACCTATTTTTAATTACATATTCTTGTAACTTACCTCGAGAGCTTTTCAAAACACTATAATAAAGTACTTTTTTATTGAGTACTTTCTGAGTTATAAGACTTGAAATCATTTCTTAATTTTACCATAAAACCATAAAATATCTAGAAAAATATTCATTTTTCGATTATCTTACCTTAATACTTTTATGTACAAAATAATGAGAGGAATCAATTAGTGTAAAGAAAACACATAATTGTTTCGAAGAAAAAATATGTAATTTGCAATTAACAATTACATATTTTTTCTTAAAAATAACTATTACTAACTACATATTACCTAAAAATAACTCATTATTTTGTACATAAAAGCATTAAGATAAGATAATTAAAAAAAATGAATATTTTACAAGATATTTTACGGTTTACAAAAAAATAAAGATTAAGAAATGATTTCAAGCCTCATAATTCGGAAAGTACTTAATGAAAACTAATTTAATTATAGTGTTTTGGAAAGCTCTCGAGATTAGCTACAAGAATATGCAATAAAAATAGGGGGTTCTGTTTAAGAAATTGAAGGTAATCTTGACGTGACTTTAACAACACTCTTCAAGAACATCGTAATATTACTGTGTAATGCTTCATTTAAAACCCTACAACTTTTGCCTGAAACATTTTCCCACAGGACCACTATTTTCGGAGATAATTGGCCGTTTCCAGATTTTTAAACCACCCTGTATATGTTAGGATGTGTTAATACGTAAATAGATAATTGATATATGTTAGGATGTGTTAATACGTAAATAGATAATAGATATACAAATGATAATTGATATACAAATGACACCTGTGCGGCAAATAGAATTACTTGCTGTGAGAATAAGAAAGCGAAATGTTCTGAATCATTTTTTTGACGGTTATTTTGTTTCGATGATTTAGGAATGGATTTTAGATATCGCTGCATACGATCATGACAGATATGCAAATCACACGGAATTGTCTTCGCTGAAAATATCGCTAAAAGACATGAAAAATATCTTTTATAGTCCAGAAATTCATCTATTCAATTATAGAATGAAACCTTTTTATCAGGTAATATATTATATAATTAATCATTATAAAATTAATATATAATTAATTATATATTAATATATAATTAATTATATATTAATGTACGGGAAATGCATTTAACATGTCATTTTATACACGTATCAAAACATATATGCATTTCTTATATATGTTTCGATATATATTTAAATTCATATATTAAGATATTCTGTTCCCACATATACTTATTATATTATATATAGTTTTTTTAATAGTATACAATACTTTTGCTCATATGCATACGATATGTGTAATTATACATATATATATTTTTTAGGAGTTTGGCAATATTTTATTGGCCATAAAATACTTGCCTACCGCAGAGAGACTGACTATTACTATTATTAAATTGCGTAACATTAAATTTACATCAGTGGTGTCCAATTTAAGTAAATTTAGTAAGTTAATAAAGAAAAAGTCGTCTAAAAAATTGGCTTTAGATAGCCTATAATATTTATAAAATTAAATAATGATATATTATTTATTTGAGTAAATATAAGTCTACAAAAAATAATTTTTTATTTTCTAAATTTCATAAAACATTTTTTTTTCAATTTTATGCAATGGGTAAGAATTTGATAATTTATGATATGATTTAAGAAACTTCTTGTCTAAATGGCATCATTTGCTTATAATTTCCTTTTTTTTATACTTAGTAGTCAGTAAAAATTTGTCAAAAAATTGAAAATAAGAAAATATCCATCTTCATAATAATATATTCAAAATCTATTATCTTCAATATTTCGTAATATATTTGAAATATATGTATAATCTTTTTTTGAAAATTATGCTATTTAGACAATTTTCTCCTACTATTGATATTATAACTTGTTTTGCAAATTACTTTTAACAAATTAATGTCTATTGTAGATCCATATGTTAGAGTTTTAATGTTGAACGGAAAAACAGGTAAAAAGATAGAAAAAAAGAAAACTAAATTTTTGAGAGCTGTTATGCAACCTGAATTTAACGAGACTTTGACCTTTGATCTGCCAATCACTCAGCTCGATTCAGTCCAGTTTCTTATTGTGCTATGCAGTAAGGTAAAAATTACTATGATCATATATAAAAGATTTTCATCATTTATTCTAAATATAAATAGAGAAATATAATTATTTATTAAATAAATATAATTATAAAAATAAATATTAGATAAATATTAGAAAAATAAATATATTTATTATTTTATGTATGCGTGTGTCATATAAATTACTTATTAAAAAAATTAGGAAATCGCTTTAAAACTTGTAAATTTTGTCGATTTTTAAAAGATTGATCTCAGTTTTGGAAGATCGTAAGACAATTTTTCGGGGTGCATTTCAAAGAATGAGACTCTTAAATGTCTTTAAAGTGGCTTCACTTTTTAAAAATTGACAAAATTCGCAAATTTTCAAATCAATTATCCTTTTCGAGTAATGTAGAATAAGAATATATTTTGTGATTATAATAGGAGGACTTATATTTTGATTTTGATATATTTTGTGATTATATTACACTTTCCAAAAATTTTAGATTTTATCAGAAGGATCATCCACCAATATTATTGATCATACAAGTGACAGCGAGGATTCTGTCAGCTCGTTCAGAAACTCTAATATATCTATTGGTAAAGTAGCACTTGGAAAAGGAGTGAGAGGTTCAACAGAAAGGTTGCATTGGTTTTCAGTGCTTCAAAATCCAAGGAAATCTGTCAACGTGTGGCACACACTGAAATAACAAAAGTCATCGTTATGTTATTACATGCATATACATATGTATATAAAAGATTGTTATTTTTCAGTGATATTTGCATGCTTTTATTGCAAAAATGTGCGGTTTTATATATTTATTATTAATTTAATTCTCTTTTGGAAAAGAGAGAGAGAGAAAAGTGTATGTTTAGTTCGCGACCAAAGATGACTTTGTAAATTAAACTTTTCAAGACTTTATTTTTAATGAATGAAAAAATAATAAATTAATTATTACTGTTAATAAATAATAATAAATTAATTATTACTGTTATTGATATTTGTGGAATTTTACTTTACCATATTTTATATAGCATATACAGTGTTCCATTTTATAAACAGCCCAATTGTATATATTTATTTATTTATTCCCTATAAAAAAATATTTAATAGAACAAGGCACAACGTTTACATGTAATCTTAAAAAAAATAATGTAAAAATTCATAAATTTCTCGAAATTCTATAAATTTTATCAAAAATATTTTTCCTCTTAATTTTTGAGATATTCAAAATAATTATAAATTTTATATGTAAAATAAATTTCATATGTGTAAAGAAAGAAACGATTAATTGACAACAGCATATGCTGCACAACTTTGTTTGTAAAAAATGCAAGAGAACTTTTATGCCAAATCGATTCAGAAACGAAGCATGCTGTTCATATTCATTCATCCTTTGGGTTTATTGCTTTCCCCCTTCCCCCAACGTCAATCATGTTAAGATTTTAAACCATAGACATAGTAAGTATAGACCGAGCATCCATTGTATAAGCGTTAAGCATACGAAAAAAAACTCATCTTACATTTTTTGTCTTTCTTTTCGTATGCTTAACGCTTATACAATGGATGCTCGGTCTATACTTATTATGTCTATGTTTTAAACATTCCGACCATCAGCTGATAAGGTAGAGTAAATAAAAGACAATACAAATATTCTGACCATCAGCTGATAAAGTAGAGTAAAAAAAAGACAATAGAGTATCTCAAGTCGGGAGAGAGAAGAGGATAAGAATAGAGATAAAGAAAGGGAACAAATAATTTATTTCATACATATAATATACCGGGTCTCATGATATACAAATGTCCCTTCCTCAAAATTGTACCGACTCCATTTCCCCTCTTCATTCCGATTTTCGATATATACAGGATGTCTGGAAAGGTCAATCATTGTGAGGAAAGTGGCAATCGTGTTTACTGTAGATAATTTCAAAATTATCTAGATAAAGATAAAGATAAAAATCCTCAAATTTATTTTAGATGAGATAAAGATGATTTTGCTTTTACTTAATCTAGATGAAAAAAGATGAGATGATTATTGCGATAATCTAGATAATTATCTAGATATTTTTGTTTATTTTATAAGACTATAAATATTTGTAAAAAATGTGACGCAAATTATAAATGGGATATTAAAATCATAAACACATATTCTTTCTCTTTTCCTAAAGAATATTTAAATAATAACAAAAAAGTATATAAATGATACGATATATATTTATTTATTAATTTATATTTATAATATATTTATAATATATTAATAATATAATAATCAATGTTTAACAATACATATATCATTTTTATAAAATATACATTAATGCATTGCACAAATTTATGTAAAACAAGTACAAGATAAAGTATATTTGTAATATTATTTTCCAAATAAAATATATATTTTAGATATTTTAGATAGATTTTTAGAAACTTGCCTGGAAAACTCTTTTGCATAATGAAAACGTCATCTTAGATCATTTTTAGATAAGACGACATATATTTTTGATCTAAAATAAAGATAAAGATACTTTGTATTTCTTCATCTAGTTAAAGATAAAGATGATCCATTTCTTTATCTAGATAATTATCTAAATAATTTTATCTATTATAGATGCCAGTAAACACTGCTTTCCGGACACCCTGTATGAGTTCAATGACGTTCGATGAATCGGATGCATCCAATCTAAGAACAAACTTTAAATGCGGATTTAAGAGTAAAAAGTGCAAACAATACGAACAGACTTAATTTTCTGTACTGATAGAAGTGTTTATATAAGCAAGAAAATATCTAGATTTTTTTTCCAGTGGAGTTACATCTTGGTTACATATTTTATTATTAGGTGTATGAGAATTTATTATCTAAACAATACAAATCGTTATAAAAAGAAACGTGGTACAAAGTTAGACACTCACAAAAATGGAGGTTGGTCTTTATTAATTGCTGTGTGTATGTGTGTGTGTGTGTGTGTGTGTGTGTGTGTGTGTGTGTGCATGTGTGTGAGGGTGAAAAATCAATGCTGTATAATTATTTTCTAATATAAATACAATGTATTATACAATTCCATATGTTATAATATTGTAAATTCTCTCTCTCAAGCCTTGGCATATATTTTTAACAATAACACAGATTACATTTACCTATTAGACATTGATATATTTTCCAACTATTTATACATTTTATCTTAATAACAATTAATGCATTAATGTAACGGAGAAAAATTTTGCAAGAATTATTGTAGGAAAGTATATATTGTAAAAAATATTAAAATATTTTTCCCCATTTTATATGAAATTATTTTGTTACTTTATTATACAAACACACACATATATACAAATGAATCGAATGAACATGATAAATTAATAAGTATTATACTTGTAGATAGATGAATGTTCAGCTGGTGAAGATAGCGGTGCAGAGGAAGAAGAAGATGAAGCTTCGACGCACGATTCTAGGACTGATAGTAGCAGTAGTACCATGAGCGGCAGTAGTACAACAACAGACAGTGAGGAAGATAGTGCTGATCATGCTACAAGTAGTAGTGAGAGTCATAATTCTGCAGAGGAAGATGAAGATGAGAATGAAAATGCAGAATATATGGAAAACATAGAGCCACCTGACACTCTGGTAAGATTTGTACCTTGTACTGCACCTTTTACGCCCACTAATTTACTAAAATAAATAAAGTTTATTGTTATTACATCTAATAAATTGATTTTTAGAGATGGGAAACTTGTATCGCTGCCAATACTAAAGTAAAATTACCGCAGGACTTTTGTGAATATTTTAATATCTTTAAGGATATGTTAGATTATCCGCATTTTTGGAATGAATGTCTTACTGAAAGTCAAAGAGAAACATTATATAATCTTTTACCTACTTTTCCAAAAGATTGCAACATAGAAGCACAAATGGAGAAATCATTACAAATGCTATTTAACAGAGAGAACAATAGGTAGAAATCGATTTGATATTTTTTGCAAAATGAAATGTGATAAAATATTTTCTAAAACAATTTAATATGGTACCACTTTGGATAATATATTTGTTGTAGATTCGGTGTAACAGCATTAGATGCATTTCACAATCATCTTTCTGCTGGTCATTATCGTCCCGATATTAAAAGAATACGCAGCTTAGTTCATAAAGCGCAGAAAAAAAGATTATTGTTTGAGGAACAGAAACGTTCGTACGAATTAGCAAAGGAATTACTTAAGTCACGAGAGAGTTTACTGTCCAATGCATATAAACAAGGTTTCAGCCAGCCAGCAAATCGAACAGTATCTAAATTTCAATGGCGCAAACCAAAACCAGTAATGGGTAAGTGTTTATTTCATGTGCAAAATATAGTCAAATATTTTCCGGCTGTTTATACTCCTCCCACACTTCAGCCATTTGGCAGAGAATTATATAATAACTTCTGGGAGACAATACTAACGCGCAAATGAATGATAGTTGAAGAGAAGACCCAGCTGCGCTATATGGAGGAGCTAAATGCAGTTCGAGCGGAACTTGGAACCAATACAAGATTGTCTGCTGATACAACATCCGAAAACGAGGAGAATTATCCGTATTATCAAACGTCCGGGGCTAAGCAGAAAAGGAAGCGGCGTTCTACCACGAGTTTTCAAGGATTGTTAGTTAAAGGCTTACAACTCAACCATGAAGACGAGACAATTCGACCTGTATTTTCCACTCTGCAGCGAATGGAATATGCTTCGAGCAGATCGCTGTTTGTACGTGAACAGACAGAAGAAACTTATCGCGCCATGCTAGCTGCACATAAAAAACGAAGGGCTCGTCGTGATGTATGTATATAATTTTTCGTTTTCTTCATGCATATGTTTATATAGGCTGTTTCAGACCACACGTACCACCCATTTAAAAACTAGAGTAGTTTTTTCAAAAAAGTAAAAACATTTTCTTTATAAATCGGGTGCGCTCTATCGAATGGTGATAGTTTCAACTTCTGGTTTCGGCCGGAAATAGGCGATTCAGACCGGAAGTGCATTTTTTTAAATGGAACCCCCTATTTTTCATTGCATATTCTTGTAGCTTACCTCGAGAGCTTTCCAAAACATTATAATAAATTATTTTTCCATGAAGTACTTTTCGAGTTATGAGGCTTGAAATCATTTCTTAATTTTACATAAATCATAAAATATCTTGTAAAATATTCATTTTTCGATTATCTTACCTTAATACTTTTATGTACAAAATAATGAGAGGAATCAATTGGTGTAAAGAAAACATACAGTTGTTTTTAAAAAAAAATATGGAATTGTTAATTGCAAATTAACGATTATATAATATTATAATTAAGGTAAGATAATCGAAAAATGAATATTTTACAAGATATTTTATGATTTATGTAAAATTAAGAAATGATTTCAAGCCTCATAACTCGAAAAGTACTTCATGGAAAAATAATTTATTATAATGTTTTGGAAAGCTCTCGAGGTAAGCTACAAGAATATGCAATGAAAAATAGGGGGTTCCATTTAAAAAAATGCACTTCCGGTCTGAATCGCCTATTTCCGGCCGAAACCAGAAGTTGAAACTATCACCATTCGATAGAGCGCACCCGATTTATAAAGAAAATGTTTTTACTTTTTTGAAATAACCACTTCTCTAGTTTTTAAATGGGTGGTAAGTGTGGTCTAAAACACCCTGTATGTGTTAGAATCATTTATTTAAATAAAATTAATTAATAGGTTCATCCAGAATTGAACACTCAAGGAATTGCGCTTGCCGATCTTACACAAAGGTCGCAAATCGGTCAAAAGCACAAGTTTTCAGTTGGTAATTTTATGAAAATTACATCTGCCAAGAAGAAAATCAAATTGGAACAAAATTCATTATGTCCACCCGCATTAAAATTTACAAATTCCAATTCTGTGAAACTTGAAAGTGACAATAGTGATTATTCCCA